GCTTGTTTTCTGAGAATCTAACAGCAATTACTATGTTTGTGCAATGAAATTGAGAAATTGACAAAAAGTGGAAAGGTTGAAATGGTTATATTTAAAATTATATATATTATTTTACATGCGACAGTATATATGTGTTATATACGTGTTGTTCCTATTGTTTTATTTATTATTTCACGTACATTATTGCATGGTATAATCGTTAAACTAACTTTGTGACATTGTGCTTCAACAATTTATGATATTCTACTGCTATTACGCCCAATTTAAGCCGAAAACTTGTTAAATTATAGTATTGATTATCAGGCGTTAATTATGAGATGCATATTGCAGCGGGTACTGGCATGTACAGTGTTTATAGATCCCTTATAATGGAAACTAAATTCTTGCTTCCGCCAAAGTAATCTCATTGTTAAATATTTAGGGCCTGGGGCTGTGAAACACATCGTGCAATGTGTGCACGATGAAGCATGACACTGAATTTTCTGTTACGATGGACTTTTGAATAATTCTCTTTGGATATTAAACCAAGGAGCAAGTAATGCACTGGAAATGAGTAATACGAACGAGTTTCCTATTAAAAAATTTAAAATTTATAAGATGCATATGGAAAATATATATAAATGAAACATTATACGGATATTTCTCGATATACTCATATTGTATCTATAACTGAAAAAGATGAATGACAGGTATTTGAATCATCATGGAGAAACGATACATAAAAATTACTTAGTTAATATATTAGAAATAATATGATGGAAATAACATGTCAAATAAAATTTCTAAATACCCAAGGAGGCATTCTTCTATGAATGTTGCGAAATTTAATAATTTTCGTAAATCCCTTTTAAAATTTATAGTATGACGTTGTAGTTTCATTATAATGTTACAATTTCATAATTCTATAATTTCTTTTGTGATTTATTTGATTTCTTTCTTCCTCGTCGTATGTAACAATGTTTTTATACAAAGTTACTTTCTTCTTCGCTTCATTTATTTATCTCGTTGTTTTCTCAATGACCACACTCTTCATATAAAATCTCTAAATTTTCGTAGGTTATTCTACATAGTGTTATCTGCAGAGTACTACCCCGAATATACAAAATTACTACAAGGAATGATGAACTGATCCGTCCGTTATATACCCGCGATATCCTCAACAACTTTTAAACTCAGCCCAACGTGCCATTCTCCAATCGATCCTCGTTCGCTTTCATCCACGCTACTCGACACCTTCCATTTCCTTGACCGTTTCTTGCTCGTCGAACGCGCCACTCCCTCTCCCCCGTTCGATTTCGCGGGCCAGAACACAACGAGAACGAAGAAAAAAAGAAAAAAGAAAGAAAAAAGAGAAAACGATGGACATTCATGGAGTAAATCGATAGGGTCGCGCGTGATTAATCTCCGGGCGCGAGCAACGCTCGGGCAATTTCCCGAGTTGGCGTTGTATCTAAGGTGGACGAGGGAAAGGATAACGAGGTTGGAGCGAGCGCGGACGATTGATGAGGTGGCTATGAAAGCCAATAAAATCGCGACGCCATCGCGGCAACTCGCGTGAACCTAGGGGTATAAATCGGCAAGTAGGCCGATTAATTGGCACTGTCTACGCTTGTACACTCGCTTATCACTCGTCGTTGATTGTACGTGTGCAAACTTTCATTCTCCTGGACCTGCGTCTTGATTGGAAATCGAATCTCATTTTCAGAAAGTCGCATTTTCAAGCACGCTCCTGTTTCTCTGTTGCGCGATTTTCAAACGTTGCGTTTTCCCAACTCGACAGTACTCACGCTTTATGAAAATGAATTTTCTTAATTTTCGTTCTTGTGACTGGACTGGCAGAAAAGTAGGATGTACGTCTTGAAATGTGATTAACCTCGTTTTAAATCGCAAATTCATCGTGTAATCTGACACCTGATCGTTCAAACTCGCTTTAGCTCAGAGAATGTTCTTAGTGGCGAACGATTTTTAGTATCATGATGAATCACGTTCTCGTTCGCATTCAAACATGCAGGCACGTCAGAGTATTTATTGCAAAATGAATTCGAACATTCACGTATGTTACATTTAGATATTTGTTTATCGCTCGTATAAACGAATACAATCTTTGAAACACTGGGGACTCTGTAGAAATTCCGAATTTCCAAGACTCGAGTACTATTTCAGAGACAAGCATCGAACTATAATACTTGTGGATTTTCGTTTACAATTTTTAGCAAACAGTTTTACTTCACCACATTGATAAACGTACATTCTCCATATTATATTAATTAAATATTAAGATACATTTCGATCGTTATCCTCACATATACACGTTTATATATATATATCAAGTTTAATATATGTATATATTATATTATGTTCTCTATTTCTAATATTTTATTAATTTTTATAGACTGCGTGAATTCTCTTCATTTTTATTAAATTTCCCACAAAACGCATAGAAATCTGCGAGTATATTTTCGCGAAAGCTGTAGCTACGCATCGTGCAAATGCATTCATTGGAATATTTTCACTTTCGAGCAGTATTCAAATTCCACGAAACGAAACTTGTTTATCGAATTTGACTCGGATTTGTAGATACATGTTGGGACTTGACCCCATCCCCAGCTTTGGTTCGGCCAATTTGCAGTAACTCGGCTCTCGGTCAGTGACTTACTAAAACTGGAAATTTGCGGTTGCGGTAAGAAAATATACGGGATCCAGGGGCGTTGCAGTGGCCCTTGTATATCTCAGATACATCACGCTGTTCCCTGTTTGGAAGTTGAATTAGGAGGAAAATATATGTAGCGGCGGGAACTCGCGTTACACGAGCGCGTGTTAGCATGCCAAGATAATAGATTTGGAAAAATTGCTGTTTGTTTGGAAATGGAACAGAACGTTCGCGATTATCTGACTTTGTTCGAAATTTAGAGATGGAATTCATTTATAAACGTGTATATAGTGAGACATACAGATAATCTACATTAATTCAAATATTTAAAAATAATTTCAAACGTAATATTTAAAACAGAAAACGAAAGTATATTTCGTTGGTTGGGATCAGATTATATTATAAAAAATACTGATGAAGCATACTTTAGTTTTAATCAGATAGGAAAGAATCTCGTTAAAAATTATTCTCACAGTTGGACACTCGTTCAGTTCTTAAATCTGTTCGTTACAAACATAATGGAGAGACGTAAATCTCCCTCGTCAAGAAATATCCTTAGATCAAGACGTTGATTCACTCAGCTTTCTCTGCGTGAAGTACCAAAGTTATCCAGTTATTTCTATTATTTCTCGAAAGAAATATTCCCAGTCGTACAATGAAACGTTCAATTATCATCAGCATTATAGCCCGCCGTAGAAGAATGAAACGGAATCGCTCGACGCCCCTATCATTTCGCCGCGTACGTTACAAACGATAAATGACAAAAACACTAAATTATCTCTTCACGCCGAGTGAAAACAACATCAGCAAAGAAACCTCTTGAAGCCCCCTCAGCCTCGAGCTTTAAAACGCCTGAACCGCAGAATGAAAGAATTAAAGAACATCAAACAAAGAGGGTTGTTCAAATCCGACTGAGTGCTGCGGTGGGGATAAGAGCCGAGCCAGGGAGAACCGTAACAGCTTTCAACGCGTGCCCATAACTTGCAAGCGTTGAAACGTTTCGCCCCAGTAAGGAACCCATTAGATATTCAGAAGCCGCGGAAACCACCGAAACGCTCGTTTTTCATGCATAACCGAGTGTACGCCGAGACAATATTTGATAGGGTCATCTGTCGCCCTCTGAATATTGCAAGAAGATGCCTACTGTCTAAATACAGCCGTAAAAATTAGTTTCGTATCTTACGTTGTCTATCTACCGCGATTCCCGTTAATATTCGGACATTTGAACATTTAAACTGTTCGCGAAGGAAGCTTGAAGACTCTGTTTTCAAAGTGTCTTCATTTCAAGATGTTTTTAAACCACGTAGTGGATGAGCAAGTGAAAATACGTTTCTCCTCGGAAATTGTTTTCAATTGTCATACTATGTAAAAGCATTGGGAAATTTGTTTCGCGACCGAATCTGCGACTGATTCGAGGATCAAAGTCTCTCTCTTACGACAAGTCCTGAAAATTTTCTGCAGGTTTTTCTTTTCCTTGAATTCCTTGAATCCTTAAATTTTCGCCGTTTAAGTCTGTTCTGGCGCAGAACAGAACCCTCCGAGGCGTCTTGTCAGGTCAACTCCTACAAGCCTCGGCCCTGCCGAGAATTGCCAGNGGACGAGACACACGCAGTCCGTCAGAGGACTGACCCCGCGTCAGTCATACATTCACCTACATTTACACTCAATTCAGTCATCGTATTTGTTGAGAATAAACGTATTTATTCTACATCACGTCTTCATTCATTAAAATATCTCTCCGGAGGCTGTAACAGGCACGACGAGAGAGCGACGAGCGAAGCGGACAGCAACTAACGTTCAACACAGCCGAGCTTGCCGTAACAAAGTCTAATATTGTATAATAGCGAAACAAAAGAGTCGTACGTCAAGTTTCGTGAGAATATTTATTGTAAAGGAGAGGTTTCAATCTTCAAACCTATTATTGATTCCTGAAAAGATTTTTCAATGCTTTCACGGTGGATTTCAGACTTTATTTCTTCACAATTGCTTACCGTCATCAAGATTAATATCAGACAGACGCGTAATTGTACAAATCTATTTATTTCACTATTATATTACAACGATTTATATTCGTAGAATACCTCGACACACGTATCAAAGGTTAGTTAAATTACAAGCGTACCAATATCTCGTTGGCTACGAAATAACTTCTTTGAGTGTTTCGTCGAGTGTTTTGTTACCAAAAGTCACAAAGGACAGACTACGTTTCGATGTACACGCACGCGAAATATTTCAAAAGGAAGAGGGCGTGCCAATGTTGTGTTGATCCTATACCGGCGGTGATCGATCTGCGACACTGTGTGCCATAAACGCGATCGAGAACTCTAACAATATCTGCGGTAATTTTCAGTACCGATGCTGAATGTGTCGGCGGTGGCTGGCTTCAAAGCTCAAATACCTTGCGACATCGATCCGGCAAGCAAAAGCGAGGTGGTGAGCATGGTTTTTTGGTACAAAGACGAGAGGGACGGCGACCCGATATACAGCATGGATGCTCGCGGCAAATCGATAGCTCAGGCGAGGCTTTGGTCAGATCCATACGTATTCGGCGAAAGGGCGACCATGAGGACGAGCGTGGAGCCCGCGAAATTGGAGATCGATCCCTTGGAGGCGGACGACGCGGGGGTGTACAGGTGCAGGGTGGATTACAAAAATAGCCCGACGCGAAATCAGAAGGTTAACCTCACGGTGATAGGTGAGTGCGTTCTACCTTTATCTATCTATCTTTCTCAGTTCCCTTCTTTGTTTCTCTTTTGATCATCAATCGCGATTAATTGCTTTCGTACCGAGAGTCAATACCATTTGCGACGTTGTCGTCGCTTTTAATTTCAAGCTTTCTACCTTCGAGCTTGTTCTCGATTATATTGTTTGACAAGGGTCGGTCTTGACACTCGGTATCGAAAAATTTGGGAGAATTTGAATGACGAATGGACTGTGGATTTTCTTTTTTTTTATGCAATTTCGAAGTGTGTAATATGCAGAAATACGTAAAATACTCGAAGCATGGTTAACATGTTACACAAATATTTGATTGATGAAACAAGTCTCTGTTTAGGTGCTATTCTTTTCATTCTTTGTTTAATGATAATATATGCAGTAATAAATTGTTATTACGACATGACAACGTTTTAAGTAGGGATGCAGAAAAAGAATGAAATAATTCTTCTAAATGTAGAAAGAGAATGAAAATTTAATCTTATGGCAAAATTGTTCCAAACTCGACTAAAAATTTCACATAAATATGAAAATATATTTTTTTCTAAATATTTTCTCTAGAAGATGTTAAAAAAAAGACTATTTTGTAAGATACTAAAAATCAGACTTTCGTAATTAAACTTTTTACGAAGAAAAAAGTCCACAAAGTAAGGAAAAACCTTTGCTTCTTATTATCGCGAAAATAAAGAAACACCACAGAATTGGTGTATAACAATCGTAAACAACCAGGATAGCATATCATCGTTATTTAACTGTAACAATGAACAAAAACTTACTAAGTTATGAATTTCTTGTTACTGTTGGCCAACAATGCTAACACGATTTTGAATGAATTAATTGGACAGGGTACAAGAGTTCAACAGGTACTATCACGGCAGTCTTGCGATGTTCTTGTTACGGGGATAAAGAATTGTTCGTTTGTATACATTGTTTCTTTTTTCTCTCTCTCTTTTTTTTTTTTTTAAATAACATGCGTCTTCGTTTCACGGTGTGTCACCTCCAGCAGTTTTATCATGCGAATATGCAGCGTGTGCTTAAGCAAAAGCCATTTACTCGTAATTTAGCACTGCTTCGTGGCGGCGGGATCATTTATGGTGTTTAATTACATTCATCTTGCTAATACCAGATATGGTGTATTTCATAGCCTCTGTTTCTAGAACAAGAGATAACGTTTAATGGCAAAATGTAGTAAACAAAGCGACGAGCATCTGGGAATTTTCGTCACTTTTCTTTCAATTCTTGTGAAATTAATGTAACGTTAATAGAGCAGTTTATAAGGGAGATACCAGCGAAGTGTTGTGAAAGTTGTAAAATTTTTCGGTAAAATTGCGAGATTTTTATTTATAGCGTGATTTGAAGCATCTCGTTATTAATGGTTGAAATATGTTACAAGAAGATAAATAACATTGGATGGTCTATTTGTATGTTATTTTAACTCTCTTCATTTTGAATTACAACATAAATTTACAAAAAAATTGTTCAACAATCAAATCAAAAAAATATATAAATAATTCCAAGATCAAGCAACCTGAGGTAAAATCTAAATTTTTCTCACTCTCAGCGATACTGCTTAGCTAGAAGATTAGAGGAAGATTAAAAGGTCATAGAGGGAAAGAGAAATACTTGCAAATACTGACTCACGTGTCATAAATCCACTTTCAGTGCCACCAAACAAGCCAGTGATTTACACCGAGGACGGTAGAAGTTTGGCGAAGGTGTTGCAGCCGTTCAACGAGGGTAGCGTGTTGTCCTTGTTGTGCGAGGTAATGGGGGGTTCACCGCCACCGAAGGTCACGTGGCATTTCGAGGGAGAGATAGACGACACGTACACATTGGAGCACGGGGACATCACGATAAATCGTCTCGACATCACGAACGTCACGAGGAAGTTCCTCAGAGCGAGGCTAATTTGTCGGGCGAGCAACACGCATCTCGTTGCTCCTCTTACCTCCGAGATTATTTTGGATATCAATCGTAAGTAAGAAATTATTTCAGCTTTGTTAACTGTCGGTATGTTAACGATATGTTCACCTCTCGTTAAGAGCTAAATCTTCATTCGCTCAAGCTTGTCAACAAACTGTGTCGTGTTCGTGGGTACTTGGTGACAATCCAAATATTCCATCTCGAAAGACTGGATTAGGTCGATGACTCGTTCGTCGTTAACGTACAGTCTGGTCATCATTTTACATGGTGTTTTACATCGTTTGAACAAATTGTGTATAAGATAGTTAGAAATGGGACAAAATTTATCTATATATAGCATTGGAAAAACTCATCGAATCCATTCAACGTGAAAATTGCTAAATTTTTATTAATCAAACTAGATCGGAGTTCTTATTTCGTAACATAAATTTCAATAAAAGTAACTCTTCTTTCCCGTTTATAATATCATTTTCTGAGTGACTGTATGTATTTATATTTCATTAAATATATTCATATTTATTTATATCTATAAATCTATATTTATACTTGCATTTATATTGTTTTAAATTTATATTTCATTGTATAGTTTCAAGTATAGTTCCACAGGAGTAGTTCCATTTCACGTTTTCCAATTTCGCGTGATAAACATTATATGATAATAAAATAATAATAACAGAAAGACGTTTATTAATTACATCTTCATACCGTCACTCTGCAATTTCATCGAAAATTCATTTTATAAAATTCATTTTAGTATTCCACGGAGGCGAGTAGAAAAATTTAATTATCCGGAATTGCCGGTACACTCTGAAACGTTTCCTTTTACGTATAAACCTATTTCTCCCTTCTGCAGCCAAAACGATGAAGAAATTTTCAAGAAGAAAGATCTCAATACTCGTAAAATTCTATCGCCTTCGTAACTGCTCCGTAACGACGTTAACAATTTCATTGAAACATAATAATAAAAAAAAAAAAAAAAGAGAGAAAAGAAAAGTTGTATTTCACCGACGAAATATTCGTGCGAAATCGCAATTTGAAAGGCATCCGGTATCGATTCAACGACACTCTTTGAATTTCAGTGAAACCGTTGGTGGTGAATATTACGAACAAAGAAGCGCACTTGTCGGCGTTAAAAACCTACGAGATTGAATGCGCCAGTTCGGGTTCCCGGCCAGAAGCTGTGATCACCTGGTGGAAGGGAAACCACCAGGTCAAACATATGGCCAGAAATGTGAGTAGAACATTTTTGAGCCTGTGCCGACCGCGTCTTAATTCTGTGTCCGCGAGACAGGTGAGACGTGAGCTTAGATTCTGAGTTCTTCGTAGTTTGCAGATAGTCCGAACATCACGAGAAGCGTGCTGAGTTACGTGCCGACTATGGAGGACGATGGAAAGTATCTGATCTGCCGGGCAGAGAATCCAGTTGTAACTAATAGCGCTCTCGAGGATAAATGGCGATTACTTGTTCACTGTGAGTAAAGTGGATTTAAACATGAACCGTTCAAACGCATGATTTTTTTTTTTTAGATATGTAGATTTGGAATTAATAAGACGGGATATTGAGAATTTGCAACGGGGATGCATTTAAGGGATGATCTTTGTCAATGTAATATAAATGAGCATTTTTTAAATTAGCTTTCCTTCCTTAGAAAAGAAATATTTTTTATTGCTAAATTTAAATATCTAGAAACAGTACTTCGTTAATAGTACTTTCGAAAATTTATTTTTTGTATGTTGCTAATTATCAATATTTGGTAATATTGATAATACTATATTTAAAACAATATTTAAAAGTATATACTAGTATATACCTCTTTCATACGTTTTGCATAAAGATTCTTTAATTATCTGTATTTTTTTTTATGATTCACTTTTTTATTCCGACAAGTGTTCAGTCACTGTTGTGGGTGTAAGATTATTAAAAAAAAATTGTGCCTTATTCCAGCTGCATATTAAAATTTTAAAATAAACGAAACGGGTTAATATCGAATTGAGTTCATAAATTGGATCTGTAACTTTTATAATTTCTAGTAAATTTCCTGATACAATATTTATAGAGTATGACATTTATAGAGTCAATTTTGAACAATCAAAAGTTCATGCCGTTTGATGCTCACGTTTCGGGTCGTAAATGATAATAATATATAGTCACACGTTGATGTATTGCGCGTGAAATTCTCAGATGCGCCAATAGTGACAATCAAGCTAGGTTTGAGTCTGAAGGCGAACGACATAAACGAAGGCGATGACGTCTATTTCGAATGCGACGTTCAAGCGAATCCGAAAGCGTACAAGCTAGTGTGGTACAAAGATGGCAAGGAGCTCCATCAAAACTCGACTGCACGAATTTTTCTTCCCAGCGGGCAATCTTTGGTTTTGCGAAGCGTGACTAGAAATTCCGCCGGCGAATATTCGTGTATGGCAGTCAACGTCGAGGGCAAATCCACCAGTAGACCAGTCACATTGGACATAATGTGTAAGTAAATTTACAACATACGTATTCTTTTTCAATTGATTATCCTTTTAACATAAAAATTATGGAATGAATGTAACAAAAGATTTTGGGCGTGTGAATCATTTATTTCGCGAGGAAAAACGCTTGGGTAAATTCGTTTCTCAGTCAAGTGATAATGTAATATACTTGAATAAATATAGATACGGAAAAATATTTCTCTTGCAAGGAATTCATTTTTTAATCAAGTAACAACGCAATGAATTTGAGAATAATATTTTATCTATCTCTAAATTTCCAACAAATGTCAGCAATTATCACCAAGAAAAAAATTGGCGAAGCGCTTACCTGTTTCCTTGAAACGGATCAGTTTCCACCTTAAAAATTATCTGCCACTCGAAAACAACGAAAGCCACGCAGTCTAGAGCGAAAGCTGACAAATCGAATCGTGCTCCCGTTCTCACTTTCAGACGCGCCTGTCTGCAAGGACGGCTCGTCCACTCAAGTTGTCGGCGCCCTGAAGCACGAGACGATTTCCCTGGTGTGTGGCGTACAATCGAAACCGCCGCCTATCACTTTCCACTGGACGTTCAACAATTCCGGGGAGCTGATGAACGTCCCGGCCAGCCGATTCACGCAGGTGAAGCCGCTCAGCCTGATCACCAGCCACTGGCACGGCTCCAGGTTGAATTATACACCGGCCAACGACATGGACTACGGGACGGTCGCCTGCTGGGCGAAAAACAAGATAGGCGTGCAAAAGACGCCGTGTCTTTTTCAGATCATCGTCGCCGGGAAACCTTATCCCCTGCAGAATTGCACGGCCCTGCAGTCGACCGGTTCGTACGCGTATCGAATGGGTAAGTGACACCATGAAACATCCCCTGCCTTTACGACCTAAACGCCGCTAACTACGCCGTTACATACGGTCGTCATAGAGAGAGAGAGAGAGAGAGAGAGAGGATACCGTGCTCGCACATTCGATAGCTTCGTGTGTGTGCTGTGTTCAACAGCTTGTTTTCCGGCGTACCCTCGACGAGAGAGACAAGGTGTTCGGTCGTGCGTGAAAACGATCGTGAAATTAGGCGACCCCTTTGGGGATCGATTGCCGCACGCTTCGAGGGGCTGCACGGTTTTTCGTTACAGGAAAGCGACACGGGAGATGGGGATGTTTGACGCTGTTTGGTCTTGGTCCGACCGGCCGGCACGTTAAACGTTGTTAGGCTACTTTCCCGTCGTTTTATGTCCATTCCTCCTGACGTTATTTTCGGGCGTTTGCTCGGAAGTTCGGACCACCGGCATTTTCTTTTTCGGACGCGATCGATCTTTTTTTTTTGGCATTCTATCCCTCGTGCAATCTTTTTCACTCTAACGTTGATTTTCACGAGGAATGTGATTATTCTAGCTGCGAGTGTCATTTCTAAACGCGTGTAATTAATCGCAGTTGGGAGCATTGTGCTCGAAAATAAAATATTTTCTATTTTTCTGAAGGAAGACGTCTTTTGGGATTTTAATATTCTTTTGCTCGTTTTTGGTTGGTTGCGGCATATCGTAATTCGGGATTATTATTCCATTTCCTCTGGAATGTAGAGGAAAGATGTAAAGAAAAGATGTTGATATTTATTAAATAGAAGGAGGTTTTAAATAATGTTGCAGAAATGCCGAAACATTTTAAATCATGGGAATAATTTTTCTTGTGATTCACGCAAATAACTTTCACACATTTCCGCGATGTTCTGAAATCTTATCTGAAAAATTTCGACCGATTTATCGTTTCCCTAATACTTTTGCGCTGATTATCAGGTTTTATATGAGATCAGGAAGTGGCCTCGTGAAAAGAGGTGTACACATGTGTATAGTATCATGGCACTGACATTATCCGTGTTACTATATATCAGATAATAAAAACTGTGAGTCACGCTCTTTTCGCATGCGAGCTCTTCTCTGTGAAAGTTCATTTATTTCATTCACGTCCGCCATTAGAAGATAACATTAACACGATAAATAATAGTAATCTGTAACAAATTGATTTTTGATTAAAAATTCAAGGAATCCTAACTCTGTTTTGTCATCTAACTCTAATTATCGAAATTCGGAGGGGAGAAAATCGTATGGCAAGGTTTTGAAAGAGAATTTCAATCGAAAACATAAAATTCTTGGAAGAAATGAACTCATTGTCAGAACTGTCAGAGTGGAGAGCTTTAAAATAGGGACAAGCGAATTGCTACGTGGTTTTTCTTTTTTCCTTCGCTTGTTTAAAATATCGACAACTTTTCGATCGGTAGTGGCACAGCAGTTATGTGTAATCTTCTCGGAAGAACGTGCTGCTCGAAATTATCGGACAAATTTCTTTTCCGTGAAACAGGTCACGAGGATTTCAAAGTCACGGACTCGAGGGACGCTGACTGGTTGATCGTCAGATGCTCGGAAGGATTTGACGGCGGTTTGCCCATAACTAATTACGAACTGGAGGTCTACAGCGAGGAGAACGTTTATCACGTGAACACTATCTCTCTGAACCACACAGAGAAGTCCGGTCCGGTTTTTGAAGTTCCTGGTTTAGAGCCCGGTCGTAAATACAGGCTTCATCTCTACGCTGTCAACGCGAAAGGTCGGAGCGATCCTGTAGTCCTTGAACCGGTCACGCTCAAAGCAGTCGCCATGTACACCACCGGTGAGTTCTACGAATATCTTTCTTTTTTCATTGACGCGAGAACGATCGAGGATGTAGACGTTGCTAATTAGAACAGCAGGTTGTATTTAATGTTTATATTACAATGAAAGTGTAGCGTTTATTGAAGATACAAGTGCTGTCAATTATATTGAGAATATTGAGAAACTTGATTGTTAAATTATTGTTATTTATTATTATTGGAAAACGGTAACTGTAATTCGATATTTCATCTATTTAGTATTTTAATTTCTGAGACGCGTAGAAAAATTTCTACAGAAGAATCTTTCATATCTGAATTAACAGAGACGAAAGTATTGAATAATAGAACAATCATTTCTCTGATATTAACTTGCATGTATCTAAATCAATATAGTTGTCAATTTAATATTTAGAAGTTTTATATTTCTTTTGGCTGAATTATCGAATCTTTTCTAGTTATTATTTTGAACATAACCAAATGTCATTTTACTAATCAAAGAGACATTTTTTTCACCTTACAAATACACTCTTGTTCGTCATAATGATCAGAGTAAAATTTTTTCCTTAATTCTCTGCAGACTAGATATAATAACTGATCGATGGATACGCTCGCAACATTCTCACAGTGGTAATTCAAAAATTGAATTAAATGAAATCACGGTGACGGCCGTGCGGTATAAAAAGGCCCAAAAGGCACGAACGTCACAATGATGCTCGTCGCGGAAAACCATAAATACGAACGACGATACCGTAAGAGGGTGCGCGTTCGCCACGTTCGTTACGTGTCTCAATTAGCCGAAATTGCATCAAGACTCGGACGAACCGTGACGTCTACTTAGCGTCTTGGTCCACGCGTTTCAACAGCGCAATTATACGCGTATCCGCGATAATTCCCCGGCACTCTTCTCTCCCTTTCCGCGGTCGCTTCTGCCTTTCCTCCCGTACGACACGTTTCTTCGTATCCTCCTTTGCCGCGCGGGGCTGAATTAAAATCCTATAAAGAGCCCGAGTCCCTTTCCTCGGGCTGCTGTCTCATTCGAGGCGCATTTATCGCCTTTAATTTCCATCCTCATGGTTTATTCATGCCGGTCCGTGGGCGATCTCGGTTTCTCTGTGGAGAAACGTTCGCTCGCGCCCCTTCTCGGATAGGTGTTCGCCTCTGTACACGTACAAAGGCTACGTGTACGTGGACAGGGCACGTCCGCAACACGAGCTCATCTTGGATCTCGGCCTGTATACCGTTCCTACTGGTAATGCGGAGCTGGCCTGGACCGCCTCCAATCCTGTCGCCAACCTTTTGCGAGAACCTCTTCGGGAACCGTTTCAACCGGGGTCTCGGGGCTACGAGCCCCCTGTCATTTCCTGCTAACCGCCACCCGGCAAGAACCCGCGCGATGGAGCTTTTATAAATGCGAACGATTGCGCTTGAGCGAAATGAATTCCGTTCCGCGTTGCTGCCGGTTCGTTTGAGCACCGGTTCCCTGGCTATTTAATGCATTTCTTTGTTTACTCGTGCCACGGATAGTTCCCGTGGTGGATTTCTGGTTGCACAGTACGCGAGCCTCGGATTTTTCTAGTTAAATGTTAGTTAAACAATCGGCTCAGCAAACAGAGGTTTTCTTTTTAAACTTGTGGTCTTTAATTTTAGAGAAGTATAAAGTACACAGAGCAGGCTTAAGTCTTGGATAACAGGGATTGATATAATTAACAATGACGAAAGTTTTGTAATGGATCTTTTTTTTTTTTTTAGAGTACTTTATTACATTACCTTTTTCAGATATACTTTATTTAGCAAAATACAATGAAATAATCATAATAACAATTTCAGTAGGTGGCGAATTATAGGCCAAATTAAAATAATTCGATGTTGGAGAATTAGGAATTCTTTGACATACAAGTTTTACACTTCAGTTTTCATTTAGTTTCAATGTTAAACGTACGTATTTCTGCTAAATTATTAAAACTTTGAATATCCAATTTGGCCTTGTATCCTTTGCATTCTCTCACGAATTAATACTAAAATCAAGTCAAATTAAAAATCAATTAAATTAATTTACTCGCTGTAACATCGCGCAGCTTGAAGGCATTTAATTTGGCTTTGATTTATACATATTTTAGTAATATTCATCAGAGGTCTGAGAATCATACAAATTGTTAATTATTATCATATACTGCTATTATATTCTTATTAACTACAAATTGTTAACGGAAATTGATCAAAGGGACAACGTGCAAAAGAGCAGGAATGTACGTGTTTGTAAAATTCATTTTCCATTCGACTCAGAAGGACAAAGGTGTGGAACTTTTCTTGTCCAAATTCACATTATCCGAATGCTTGGCTACCTTGAATATTGTTATTCGAACATCCTATTATTCAGACGGCACACATACATATGTATGTATGTACATATGCACACAATCTGGTTTACATTTAATCGTAGAATCATTTACATAGCATTCTAATGTCCCCGACAGAAACGCGTTATGCTAACTACACTAACCGGGCACAAAATGATGAAGGTATTGGAGAGTGGTGGAAATAAAACGGCTGTACGAATGTAGACATATTGAAAAATGAAAACAGTGTTATTAAAGGCAATTTACGTTGGGGAGATAGTTTTTTTTGGCATCACGACGAGATCGTACGCGACATTTTTATGTGCTTTGAATAATGAAACTGAAGAAAAGTTGACGCATGTCAACGTTTTGTGGAGATTTCGAGATTCGGACGAGAGACGTGTTAAGGGGATGTAGTTTTACACAATTCAATCCATTAAAAATTACGCGACGATATGTAAATAGATTCGTACATGTATCCTTATATATTAGAATATTTTAATTATAATGACGAGGATCATTAGGATTGTTCCAATTAATTGGAGGCATGACGTGAATTCATCTAATAATAATAAATGTATAATATATTAAATGAATATTTGACACAACGAAGCGTTTCCCTCTTGTGTCATAAAATTCTATATATTTAAAAGGAGACGTATATGTAATGAAACTAGATTTTATTTATTTCTATTTCTACATCACCAATTCTGCGTTTCTTTTTAAACATTTAAAGATCAATAACATGAAAGAGAACGCAGATAGTTAAACATTGTTTCGAATTAATTCTAATAATATTTCCCTGTAATATTTACTTTGTAAATCATAATACATGTCTTATAATAATATTTAAATTTTCATTTCACAAAATATTTATTCTATAATATACACTATACGTTCAAATATAATTAGTTTTCATTATCGTTACCTTTATTTATAATCAAAAATTCTGTTGTAAAATTTCGTACTCAGTAATTCTAATTAGGTTCTAATTATAAATAATTCAAAGTAATCTTAATTTAGTATGAATCGCTGATCCCCGTGACTTGATAATTTAGAGATCTCCTATATTTTCACGTTTTGTTCCACTTCTGTTAAAAATAAATCCTATCTGCATTAATCTATCGAATTTCATTTCCAAAATTTAGACGTACTTCATTGAAATGCACGACCTGATTTGCAGGTTAAATATTTATGTATGATAGATAAAGAATATCTGAAAGAGAGTAATGATCAAACGATCATTGGCCAGCTATTTTGATACTCGTTGTTTCATCGTGTTCATGTTTATTGTATCGCGCTTCGAATAATGCGAACGTCAGAATTAAAATCTGTCAGAGTAATTAATAATGCTCGTGACATAAATGAACAAACAATGTCATCTTAATTTATATATCACATTTGGATTACAATCTCGAAATTATCATATTTGCTTCGAATAATGTAACAATCCACGGTGGCTGCGTGTTTTAACAGATGCACGCGCGCATCTGTTATGAAAACAAAAATGCAAAATACGTGCGATACGTAGCAACATCGCACAATGTTAAATACAGCTATTCTTCATGCTTTATATCTTTCATTCATAATAGTAATGAATTTTGTCAGCGTGAAAACGTACAGATTTCAGAAGACGTGTAAAATTTTGAAACATACGAAAAACAAGGCAGGTGTTCAGGTCTGTTTTTTTTTGGAATATTTCTACACCACGGTGAAAAACACAAATAAAACAATTTTCGTTCCATTATAAAGAAACGCGTCGCGCACTTTTTCCCAATCATTGTACATTTTCCAAGAAACACGTTGTCATTGTCGAAACGTGATTTTAACTCGGAACGTGTAATGATTACACGATAGTTTTATGCACTGATTGTAAGAAGAAGTGTTTGAACAGTACGCTTTTTTGTTCATTAAAACTTTTATAATCATTAAACCTTCCATCGTCTGAAAACATTTTAACCTAATTACGACGCAAGTGATACCGAAGAAACGAGACGCGGAACTTAATTAAAAGAAAATCACATTCAAGAGTATAATCAACAAGAGCGTTTTATGATTCACATTGTGATCGAGACTCGTGCAAACAAGAAATAAACAAATCGATCAATAATGAAGAGAAGAAATGACGAGAAGAAATTTTTTTAAAGTAAAGCTCCGTTTTATAAATCACGTTATTTTTTTGGAAAGATCACAAAATTTATTTCAGCAATTACTTTCAGCATTTTATCAATAACTTTGAATGATTGTATTCAGTATGATTGTTTCTTATCACTCATTATATGATTAGAATCATATTGATTGTTCATTTTCTACTAATTATAATGAATAAATTGTATCTGTTATATATACATTGTCAGATTCAAATTTTACCAATATGATTGTGATAGTCGTATCGATAGTATTTAGATACAAATAAATATGTAAAACATGCTGAATTTAATTTTGGTCTCAGGCAACTATATACAATGCTAGCTACGTATATTTCAAACAGAAGTGGAAATATATTAACTTAATAAATATTTCAGTCATAATATACAATACTGATTAGCATAAATAAAAAAAAGAATAATCAACGATGGATGGAAATTTATCCTACAAAGACTTTAAAAGATTCCGTTAGAGCATTTTAGAGTCTTATTGTCAGAGTGATTAAGATAATTTACGATCGTATGTATCTCCAGATATATCTTAAAAATTTTCGTAAAATATCAAGCATCAAGTTTCGTTTTAATTTCAATTTCACTCGTGGCCAGTTGTTGCCAAGAAATCAATAGAACAAATAGATAAATATTCTTCCATCGCGAGATTAAGACTTTTGTTGAAAATGCAACGAATTACACTATCATTTGTAACACGTATAGTATTCTACGCGACACACAAAATAAATCTAAAATACATCTCCATCTATCGTTGTACGATAACGAGATATTTCATTATAAAACGGAGTCATTTCAATTATCAAAGTGGATCGTGTGTCGTTGAAATTCTTCTCGAAATAGAACATCGAGCCAAAGGATCGAATGGAACATTCGAATCGGCGACACGGTCGTTTCTGGGGAAACGTCTTAAACGTGTCCGGCGAGCAAGATCCTCTTTCTTCTTTATTTATTGGATCACGAGGAAGAATTGGAGGGCGAGGAGGGGGACAGAGAAACGTAGCTAAAGAACTTCCGGTAGCAAAGATTAAGAAGGAAAGAGGAAACCGGACCCACGTCGACGACGATGACTGAGCTCTTTGGCATTCAGAAAGCGCTTCGGTTCGTTAGCCAACGAACGTTTCGAATGTACACGCCTCTCTGTATGCACCTGTACAGATGTGTACGTATCCATTCCTGGGGCAAACATATACCGGGATAATTTGATTTGTGTACGGCTAACATTTACAGGCAATTTGTAATCAGAGTAAATACTTCCTAATGCACCGGTTTAACTTTCAACGAAATTAACGAAGGAAAGGGGTGACATTCCGGGGAGACAAGCTCGCCGGAATTTAGGTGAAAAAGGAACTGTTCTAGAACGAGGAGTTTTTAAGTATTATTTGTGCCATGTGAATTATTGGTCCGAAATGTCATTGACGCTGCAAAGAGAAACAATTGTTACGATTATGTTTGGTTATATTTGGGGGATCAATCTCAAAAGTGTGTACAATGTTAAGTAAATGGAATTAAACGTATCGCAATGTTAATTAAACGAGATATGAAAATATCTCATAAATATTTTCACGAGCAACTGTAAGTAATGGCATTTCAAATTAATATGTAAAATGAACAGTTAAAATTTTATTTAGCAAAACTGGGATTTTTGTAGCGGCTTAATACTTTCCATGCGAATGTTTTTAATAGCTTTGACACAACATTTTTTTACATGTACATTTAATATAATTAACGTTACACTTCACACGAAAGCTGTAGTGATTTTGTAAAATTGTTGTACTTTAAATTTATATTTAATTGGTAACGTCGTATATGAGAGTGTTTCCCGTATTTTTAAAGCACTCATCTTTTCACAGCTTTGCTAATTTCCCTGGTAATTTAATATCCATCCTGAAAACTTTAACCTTATTTTCGTTGTTAATTCTGACCGATAAAAATCGTTCAGTGTATTGGAAACATAGTTGATTTAATATACGAAAAAAGTACCGCTTTAAACTCGAATTAACTAAATTAATACAATGGGGAATCAGGTTTACGCTTCATAATAATATTTAACAATATTATCGACGTCTTACTTATTTTCATTTTTCATTACAAATATATTATTTTTACGCTTTTAATCGAAATGGCAATTAACGAAATTCAGTTTCTCAATCGTCGTTAGAATTCAATATTTTTAATAATAACGTTCAACAATTTCATGTTCGTTTATGTTGTAGATGGAAGAATAACCGAACTAGTTTTAACGTTTATAATTATAAAGAATATTAAAGCGTTGTTATCACTACGACTTAAATATACAGTGGCAGGCAGAGGAAAATTTAAAAGGTAAATGGCAGAGATAATTTATAAGCGGAATTTCGACTTTAGACAAGATCAATAAAAAATAGAACGTCGATCAAAATATGTCTAGTATAAAAGTTACTAATTCTTACACTTATCGAATATCTGTAAAATATTTATAAAATATTTATGGTACAGATTAGGTAGGGTGATTCTACAGCTAAAGAAAGGACGAACATCAGAAATAAAAGATTTATCTGAAAGATTTATGTGAAAACTGAGTTTTGAAAACTTGTCAGGTAGATGAATTTGGCTAACGGCCAGCTAGCGAGGAGCAGACAATTGGCAGGAGATAATTCTACATGTGAAAAAATACATATGTAGAATGAAATTTTTTTCGTTGGAGAGGGAGATTTTTTTCTTCGTTTTCAAGAAAATAGAGTTTAACCGCGAATTAGTCTAATTTTTGAAACTTTTGTATGTTTCTCTCGGAAACGGACCAAATATTTTACTTTCCATTTTTTTTCACTTTTTTCGCATGTGGAATAATCTTGTGCCAATTGTCCATTCCTGTCCAGTCGAAAATTAATTCACGTGTATTTGACAAGTTTTCAACGTCAATTTTCTAAGAGGAACAATGAAGTCTATAACGTAGTTTTAATATTGTTTGTCTTGTTTTATATATAATTATTTTATATATATAATCGAACAGTAGATTTTAATGCACTTTTACATTTCCATGACTGTAATTAAGAAAATGGAATCTAAATACGAATTTCTAAATACGAGTCTTCTATTAAATACAACGTAATACATCTACTTTCAATATTTATTAAATTTTTGCATATGAAATGTCCGATTTAATGACTAAAATCCATAATTATTATGACAATAATAACTTAATACTGCTCAGTAATATTTAATTACAATCAAAGATAATCACATTATGTCGTAATATGATTAATGTTATATCAAAAAAGTGGCGACTGGAAATTCCATAAAAAAATTTTAATCACTTTATTTGCAACGATCTAATACTTCCGCATGTCCTGTGTTTTTTTGCACTTCAAGTTTTAGATACATATAAAATAAAAATAAACAAGCACATGGATAGGACCATTACTAATGAATATTCTGATAACAGGAAAGGATGTAAAATATTCTGATAACAGAATGTCGAGGTACAATAGTAGAATGCTCGGAGGATGCGGATATGAAAGGTTCTGCTGTACTTCAGTCTTATCTATTTTGATACGTATTTATTTATTTATTTAGCATATTTATTTATTAGCCATTTGATACACAAAGAAAAATAAGAATTAACGAGCGTAATCTGCAGAAATAGATGATAAAAAGTCAAAGTAAAAATAATAAAAGAGAAGATATTACAATCGAGAGAAAAGCAGTAAAATGTAAATACACGAAACATAATCTTGAAGAACTGAAAGAATAATTCAAACGACCTGATCGAAAAATCATTCACATTTCTGAATTAAAAAAAAAAAACGAATTGAGGGAACGTCTAATTGGAAGATCGATGGAACCGTTTGCACCGTTTATCGACGAAGCTTCCACGTGTTCCTTTCGTGTGGAATTCCTTCTGAATGGAGGCACGTGACTCGCGTAAAAGACGATCGTTAGATGGATGATATCGATGGGAATCGAGGGCTTGGTCGAATGCGGAGAATCGGACGATGCACTCGTTATCAGCGCCGCTAACGAGGCTTTTAAAATTGCTGACGATTGTTAACGTACACTCCGCGCTGGAGTTTTCCCAACGTCGTTCTTCGTTCCGGGGCCGATCGAGCGCGCCGCGTAGGTATTGTCGTGGGTTTTCAATTCGCGGATAGGTCGCGCGGATAATTGAATTTCGTTATTGAACGGCGGCGGCCAGTTTCGAAATTTCATCCCGATGCGCGAGCGCGCGCTCGTGCAATTAGAAATGTAATTAAGATCAGCCTCGTTCGACCAGCCTCGTTGAATTTTGTAATGCGGTCTCCGGGATTTAATTAGCTGCTCTTCCCAAGAGTTTGTCTTCATTGAAATTGAAACGACACGAAAGTTCCCTTCTTAATGTTTGTTAAGTGCAGCGGGCCCTCGAGCCTCGAGCCGCGACTTGGAACTCGAACGCAAAATTTCGCGGAAGTTCGGCGTTTGAAACACGGAAAAAGAAGAAATTGAAAGTCGTCATTAGAGTCGGTATGGGGAACTGTCTCCCTCTAATTTAAATATGCTGTCTAATTTAACCAATCTTGCACTGGCAACTGACTGCGGACCATAACGAACGACCAAACCGGTATACAAAAGTTCGTTGCTTTCTCTTTGAACTCGTCGGTATGGACATCACTGGATAGAAATGATTGAGAAGTAATAAATGTATTATTTGTTTTGCCTGGGTTTTATTGAAAACTAAGAGAAAATGTTACAATTTTAGGACAAAAAATTCTCGACGTGCGTAGCATTCCAGCGTAAGAGGTTAAAAAGTAAATTTTGTCATTGTGTTTTTCGTTTGCAATTGCGTGGCATTTGTTGTAAATGTCGTTGTAACGAATAAAGTCATTGTTGGCCGTTCTTCAGCCATGCGAATTACGCAGGATAATAACGAATACGACGAACGTTCGAGACCGATCTACAGAAACAGTAAGAGTAAATATTAGATTAGCAACATGCGCACAGTTCGTACGTAAAGTTCGACGAGTCACGAAGGTGAAACGAGACGCAAAAACATCTTCAGTTCAGAGAGAATATTATTAGACCGGGCAGATAGTTTCAGTTCGCGTCCGAGGCGTGACTTTAACACCACGTGTTTCCTTCTGTCCGCAGATCGCGGAACTTCCGACGACACCACCGACTACAGCCTCCTGGTCGCTTGCTTCGCCGGTGGGGTGACGGCCGTGTGCATTCTGATCGTCGGCGTGATCGTCACCCTGTATCGTCGCAATCATCCGATGCAGCCGATGAAAACGCACACGGAGGTGGTGCATTACGGCAACAAAGAGGACAGGGTGGTCATAGCCCCGTTAACCAAGGACACCAGCGACGAAGTTAAAAGGGAAATGACCAACGATGTGGCCGACGACGACCCGGACGTGATACCGAGCAAGATGGACAAGAGGCCCGACATCTTCCAGCCGAATTACGAGAGCCTGAAGTCGGAGAGGACGAAAGATTTCGGTCGTTTGGAGGAGCTGGATCATCCGACGTCGTCGATACCGCTCGCGAAGGACTCGTGGATCTATCCGAACGGGTACGTGAAACAGGTGGAGAAGAGCCTGAGCCCGTTACGACCTAGCACGCTACCCGTTCACCGCAGTCACGACATTTACACGAGAAGTTCGCGTGTTCAAGAGAGCTGTATATAGATGGTATTGATGGTTTGTTGACGATTATGGCGTCATCGGCTGACGCTGACCAAACTGACGAGACCGCGACTCATTTTTCAGGACTGCCGAGATCAGAAATGCTGATGCATTTTGTTCGTATGTGTCAGCTTTAACGTTCGATGGTTGCTTGGGTGATTGTCATTCGGGGATACTGTGATTAATGGAAGTAGCTTAGCTGAATTGAGAGGGAGAGAGAGAGAGAGAAAGAGAGAGCGAGAGAGAGAGAGAGCGAGAGAGAGAGGAAGTTGTACGTTTGGAAGAAAAAGGGGAGAAGGTAAGTAAATTTACTTAAATAAATTTTGGGAATTTAACCCTCTATAATGAATCGTGAAAATATTCGATCGTTTATGGGAAATCTTTATCGATATACTCTCTGCGCGCGCGCGCGCGCGCGTGTGTTACATAGAAAATTTTGAAATTTTACCGTGATCGTGTCAAATTTGAAACAAATCTAAAAATATGCACGTGTATGTATAGAAATATTTAATTTTACGCAAAAAGTATCAGTTTGAAAGTGTACGTTACATAAAATTAATTTGTATCGCAGAAGACAATTTTTATTCACGCTGTATATTAATTTTTCTTTTTAAATATACGCTTGAAATTACTGTCTCGTAACTTCTACGATCTACATTTTCGAATAATAATCATAACAATCATCTCTCATTATAATACTAAAGAAATTTCAAAATGTTTTATCCAACACACGATTGTCCTACGATAAATATTCGAATATTTTCGCAAGGCACACACGTATTAGCATATGTGAAGCTTCATTATTTGTTTCAAGTGTGATATACGTAAACTCGTGTCCTCCAGTTACGTGTATCGTTTGAAATGCAGTTGCAAGTTCTTCAATATTTCAAACGATGCAACGAATACGCACAAAATTCAAATTACCCATTCACAGTCATTCCATGATTCGCGCTACTGTGGAAAATTCTCGACGCAGAATGATTAATAACATTAATCCTCGATGCTGAAATTGTGTTCTATTTCATAGAATCTAGCGAATCATGCTATTATCGAATTTTTAAAACTAGCCTGAATAGCAGAAAGTGTCGTTTCTCCGTCGAGTAAATTTTTCAAGCTGCAAGTTTTTACATGTTTTCACAATCAATCTGGATTTTCTTTTCTCGTACAGCATCAATAGTCTCTTTGCAAGGTAGGTGTGTTTACAATAAAGTAGAAATGTTACTCACGATTTTCTACGGGGAAGTAAGTGAAAATTGCTCGCGATCGAAGAATTTATTCGTACAGATTTTTTAACTCGCAGTTAGATTAGTTCGTAATTGAAATTGACAAATTTACGCGGCGACGAAAACCCAGTTTCGATTTACCATGGTCGACTGAAAAATTTCTATTTCGAAAAGAATTTTTATACACGGTTGAAATTGACGGATTTATAAACTGTCGAACAACTATTTCAACTCATCTTCATCAGAAATTTCTATTCCAAGATGAACGTTCGAAATTAATAAATTCGTGTAATGTCGAACATCTATATATCTCGCTCATCATTCAGCTTGATCATCTCTATAAGAACAAATTTCTATTTCGAAACAAATCGATTACGATTTTACAAAAGTCGACACTTGCACAATCCAACAGTCCCTGCATTTCCAATAATTTGTTTTCTCTTAGCGAGAACGAATGAAATTCCAATTATAGAGGGTTGAAGAACGAATCGTTTGAGGAGTGACATTCCCGAGCCTCGGAAACTTTCGAAATAGGTTTTTATTCGCGTGGAAGTCGGAAGGAACGGGCGCGGCTCACACTTCACTGTCCTATCGCGAAACTACGATTGACTCATGCCAAAGAGAAAAGAAAGAAAGGAAAAAGAAGCAACGCCAAGTATGGCGAACGACGTTTGTAAATAGACAATAAGTATCGTTAAGATTCCCTCCTGAACTGTCGCGAGGTCTTGCTCTTATTTTTCATCTAGATTTTAATTAATCGTAAATATGAATGTAAAAGAGAAAGAAAAGCAAAGGAGAGTAAAGCAAAAAGAATAAAAAGAAAGGAGAGGAGATAAGGAATGGAGCGTCTCGTTCGTAACGACGTTTGTAAATATATAGACAATAAATTTTTCTTCCTTGAATGTTCGTCTCCCAAGTCGAAAAAGCTTCCCGCATTTCCGATATCGTCGTCGGTAACGTGGTTTCTCATGTTGAACATTGTTCCGTGTGAATAATTGGTGTATCGTGCGAGAATGAGCGCGCTTCACTGGCGAACGCGTTTACGCTTGGTCAGTCAACCGGTCGAATCTTTTAACGAGCATGTAAACGTTTGTATATATGAGTAATAAACCTCGTTGTTTAATAACTTGGCACCGAGTTTCGTTGCTTCTTCGAGGCCTTGCAAAAATATGCCCGACGATGTTGAGACAACGATGGAACGTTGGTAAGTAATGTTGAATTAAAGTCGTTTTTTAATAATTATTCGTAGGTTTTTTAATAATTATTGATAATAATATTAACCTATTAAAGGGCCGAGCGATGATTTATCGTAACATTATAAATTGATCGTTTAATTTCGTAAAGTTCAGATGGAGGAGATGGGGACGAAGAAAAATATCCAGCGAATTCCTTTCAGAGTTTCCAATATTGAACCTCATCACACAAAGAATCGATTTTCGAAAGTCAAAAATAAGAAATAGAATTTCATGGTGAGAAAAATAGATTTTTTTAGAATAGACAGAGGTATGAGTAAATAGTTGCGCCAATGTAATTAATCGTATGTCTTCAATGGGTCGGGCTTTTCTCAGTTGGGTCATTTTAAGACATATACTACTTGAGTGCGCGTTCTCATCAGTCCGCACTTCAATTACTACTATACAAGTATTTTAATACGGAACGTATAATAAATAACGTATAATAAATAAATAAATAAATTATAATAAATCAAGTATGAAGTACAAACTGCTGGCCGATACTGTATGATTATAAAAATATAAAATTAGATAGACTTCCGTAGCTTATTATTTATAATTGTTGGCAATTTCTGGGTTCGTATTTTTTACTTGTATTTTCGCGCTACTGACAGATCTAGGTTGTCTGCTTTAAATTAAATTCAAGCCCAATATTCATTGAAACCCGATGTTCCACGTACAATCTACCAATTGACATACTTTGAGATTTAAATATTATTTAAAATCCGCAATGAGTTTCGGTACCAACTTTTAATCGTTCTCTCCTCTCTAATAAGTTCGTCCGTAAAATTAATTCATAGAGCTTCTTACACTGCCTGTTTCTAAAAAAGAAAAGGAGAAAAGATAGGGAGAGATACGTTTTCAAATAGTGCATCTAAAGCCCTCGACGTGAAAGACGTCGAATCGCAGCAACAAATACGGCTTTACATAAATTCCCGAATTGCAATTCCAGCTCGACAGGAGACTGTTTCTCTTCCATTAACTCTTCGACGTTTGGGATATTGTTGACTGATTCCGGACGCGTAGGCAACGATTTGCTGGACCGGCAGATATTTCAGTAAGCCGCTTATCCCGCGCCGCGGATCTAGAGATCTCTGGCAGCGGCTCGTTTAACGTGTAACGTCGCGTACACGCGCGATCCACGCGGCACAGATTTCCGTCTACACGCGGCCTGACATTGCCAACAGAGATCTAGACGATGATGGCCAACGATAAATCACGTCGTTAGGTTCAACGTTCATCCCGGTGAATCTCGTTTCACGCTACCTGGGAATAAACTGTCGGGCGATATGTTCCTTCCCGCCGAGATCTCACGGAGTTAACTGTACCGCTCGACTTATTGTCGCTTTAGAATAAAAGTCGCGAAAAAAACTTTCTGAACTTTGTCCAGAAAAATTTTTGAGAATTTTTGGTTCGTTACAATTGTGAATATTTTTTATATTTTATCGATCCCGGAATTTTATGGATTACATGCACTTTGCACGTGAGAATATTGTATTATTTCTTTAAAATAGAATTTTTTTAAATAATTCTTTTTGCAAGTAATGCGCTATTTAGTAATATTAATAGTATTATTATAATATTATTATAATTCAGCGTATTAATAGTGTTCAATACATTCTCAAACATTTGTGAAGAATATTACACTTTACGAGAATCTTCAAATAGAGTTTTCGAGTTCAAATTTTGAAATTTTATAAATAATACATGCTCCAACATCAATACAATAACAGTTCAATACACTATATAAAAAATTGCGACGAATACATTATATTTCATAAGAATTTTCAAGTTTCAAATTTTCTTAGCTCTTTTCAAACAGTATTTTGTAAATCTTGATTCACGAATACTTTTTCTACGTCTCAAATTGAAAATTTTATAGATAATGCACGTAATCACACGTAAGAATAAAAGTCGCGAGAATGATATTACATGTCGGAAGAAGAAGAATGTTTGAAATTTTTTGCAAATTTTAATTCCCGGATATTGACTTTGACTTGAATTTTAGAAGCACGTATTGAACTCGATTCAATTATAATACAATAATTAAATTTTACAGAATAGAATATTATGTTACATTTATATCTGACAACTTCGTTAGTTGACTCGTAACATTATTAACTGGAACTGCAACGAGAGCTGCATTATAGATTCATCCACTTTTGCAATTAAAAGTTTCGTTAACTGTTCAAGTGCCTGAAGAGAATGCATGAAACTAATTAATTTTTATACCAAGTGGTTAAATGCAGAATTCGCGCGATTCGTGTTTTCCGCCTGTTCGTGAAAAAGAAGAACTTCTTCTTTTCCTTCTCCCGTTTCATTTCGTTGGCGATTCCCTTACATAAAGTGCAAAAATAATTACCCGGAGTTACTTTTTCTCGTTTCGTTTCTTTCAACTTATTAATTTGCTGTCGTACGGACACGGTGTTGGGAATTTTTGCAGCGTAACTGCACACTTTGTTGGGGCAAAATAATCGATCATTCCAACAGTTTATGAAACCCATTTAGCGCAGCTTGTTAGTTTATTTTCAACTTTGTATCGTGTCGTAACTTTATTCGGAATTTGCCGATATATCATTGCGAGCGAAGTGTCAGATAAAAATGTGGCTTTTAATATATTAGCTCTTTTTGTTGATTCTTATGTACTGTAATATCCAAATTTTATTTACTTGTTAGTAATTTATTGCTTGTTAAGTAACAAGAGAATAATAAAGTACAATAAGACATGCCAATAATAAAAATTAATAATAATAATAATAGCAAATAGTCGAAGATTAAGAGTTAAGTAGTTAAGATTACTTTTCTTCCTTTTAGTTTACAAGATCTGTTGCATTAATATGCATTACAATAAAAACCTATTTTATCTACTAATTATTAATATTAATAAATTGATCAAATTCAATGTGCATTTATAAATTCAAATTTTCGACATCCATAGTTTATATGAGGGAAATATAAAGTATAAATTTATAAATCGCGATCAAGTGTGAATTATAATTATAACGTGCTACAATGCTATCCATAATCTACGATTCTCATAATTTTCTTGCATGAAAACGAATGAATAAAAATTCGCAATCTGAATTACATAAAAATATTTGGTTGATTGATCTGTACGAGAATGTACAACAAGAAAATTGGGACTAGATTTCTATCCAAACTCGAGAATCTTTCTAGCATTCTCCTTTGGGGAGATCAAAGGATTCCCCTTGCTCGTTCATACTTTATATACGACTGATCGAAAGGGAAACCAGTCAGATACCAATAACTTCGGTCCTATGTATCTCGAGCTGTTGCCCTCGCGGAATATTTCTAGATCACCAGTGAATAATCCGCCGACTATAACCGATGGGCTTATCGCCGACTCACGACAGTATTTTCAGCGCCGAACCGAGGGAACGCTGATATAGCGGACGGTTCTTTCGTGCACCTTCCGAAATTTATGACGGACGCCCTAGCGTTTCGGAGCCTCGTAAATTCCGTCAGCCAACGCCGTGAACGCAATACGTGTGTTTTCCTTTCGAGGGAACGATTTTCGCGATTAGTCGGGCGAAATTTTGTGCAAACCTTCTTGCTACGTATATACGAGATCGACATAAGAGAAACGTTATACACACGTTGTCAATAGATAGTGGCCGCTTTTTTTTCTTTTCTTTTTTTTTTTTTTGCATAGAGATACTTAAGAGATAGTTCGCAGAATGTAGATAAATATAGGAAAAATATGGAATATAAAAATATATTGGAATATTGGAATATTTAATATGTTGGAATATTTAGAATTGATAGATAAATATTTGGTAGGATATTGGCGACCACTTACAATTCTAATTAGAATATATTTTATTTAATGATAAGATAATTGTAAGATCTTTATAAGATCGTGGTTTTGATTTATTTACAAATGTAAGAAACACTGTCAATTTTTATTAATTTTTATCGGTTCTTGCTACGTATGTACGAGATCGACATAAGGGAAACGTTGTGCACACGTTGTTAATAAATGGTGGCCGCTTCTTTTTTGCATAGAGATACTTAAGAGATAGTTCGCAAAATGTAGATAAACATAGGAAAAATATGGAATATAAAATATTGTAGGAAAATGTAGGAAACATCTCCAAAATAAAACACTTGTTGGAATATTTTTTTAGAATCGATCTTTATAAGATCGTGGTTTTGATTTATTTACAAATGTAAGAAACACCGTCAATTTTTATTAATTTCTACCGATTCAATTAATTTCGACAGATGTCAATGTCTCTCGCTGGCTGTACATAATTTTTACATAATAATCGACCCTTCGTTTCCGTATCTACCAACCCGCGAATTGAAATTCGTTCGTGCTACCCTGCAAATATAACTTATCGTGACTTCGTGAAGCACGGAGGTACGAAGGACGTTTGAACAATAAGCGCGAGGGAAACGTGGCCCGGAGGCGGTCGAGATATTTCGCGGTCGTTGATTTGGAAATTTAATAAGAAACGAGACGGAAAAGGGTGTGGAGGGAGCAATACCAAGCCATCAGGCTGTTCCCCTGGTTTTATCTCTGTTTCCATTTCGCCGCCTCCTCCTTTTTGCGCCCCGTAGATTCTACGCATCCTTCGTCCCGCTAGAAGACTAATATCCGCATTAAAAATTTAATTATATAAACCTGATACCGACTGATTCGTTTCTGCCTCGGTGGTCGCATTCGGGATGATGTCTTAATGACGGTCATTAGGTCATAATGAGCCCAGATGTTTTAGAAAAAATCTTCTGGCAATTTACAAAAGCGTAGGATTCACAGAAGATATTTGCTCCTCGTGAAAAATTTCAATGACAATTCAAATATGCCTGGACAATTGTCTAGAGGTTGGTTCCAAATGCCATGTAAAAATGAATCAGATTTGGAAACGTC